GAAGGCTTTCAGTGGAGACAGTGTCTTGCTATGTAGTTCAAACTGGCCTTGAACTCAAGAGCAACTATCCTGCCTCAGCCTCTCAAATGCTGAGATCACAAGCATGTGCCACTATGGCTAGTGCCCCCCACCTCCATTTAGTACTTCTAAGAAGTAAGTACTGGCCATTAGATTTGGCGAGGTTACCAACAGGATCTCTCATTGGAGTGGTCCAGATATTATTGTAGACAGCCAAGTCAATGAGATATCTTGTAGGCAATTAGATAGGGCCAGCCCTCCAGGAGTCAGTACAAATGACAATCCAGACATTCACTGAGAGTCGGTATTACAAAAAAGAAAAAGTACTACACTACATACTTTCCCTAGAGATAAAGAGCAGTGATTGAAATTTAAATAGACATCAATCACCCTAGGTGGGAATCAGAAACTCCCTAGCCTGTTCCAGAAATTCCTTGTTCATTTTATGTACACTTGTTATATGACTTGTTTTCCCATTTGATCCCCACTTAATTCAATATTACCTGGGTGATTGCACCTGTAATCTTATTGTTTGATTATGGTTTTGTCCCACCTTATACCCATCTTGTGATTTTCCACTGGGTCTTAGTAGTTTTTTTTTTTTTTTTCTGTACCGGGGATTGAACTTGGTTCCTTGCACTTGGATCTTATTAGTTGACTGTAATTTTGTCCCTCTTTTTTACCCATCTTACCTTGTGGTTTTACTCCATAAAACCTCTGGGAAATGGGGTCCTGTGCAACCCAATTTTTGGGTGTCCCCTCCTCTCCCTCTCAGGCAGGAGTGGTTTTTCCCTCAATAAATATTCCTTACTCTTAAGCTCCATTGTTCCTGGAATTCATTCTTTGATTTTAGAGAACATGAATTTGTTCTAGTAGGTTGGGAGTTATATTTCCCTTGTTTGGATAATTTTGCTTAATTGAATTACTTAGTGTCCTATATCATCTAGAGTTTCCACTGAAATCACTGGGTGGAGGTAAGAGTTTGCTTTTGCTTCATAGATTCTTTTTGTTTCATAGATTCTGATTCTTGCCTTTTTAGATTTGTTTTTGTTTCATAAATTCTGGCCTCCATTTAATAGATTTTGGCTTTTGCTTCAAAATTGTCTTAAATTTTAGGTTGTATGTTTCAAGTTTTTGCCAATTGCTTGTTTCTCTTATGAATCATCCTTTATTAAAATTACATATACTCCTAAGTGAAATAAATAAGTCACACATGTGTAAAGACCAAATAGTTTCCCTGGTGTGAATATTCTGCAACAATGCATAAGATTCTAATAAGATTACTGACATTTAGAAATTTGAAGAAAAGAGCTAAAGGTGTAGGGAAGGTGTGATATGTAGGGGAAGAACAAAAAGGGAAAAGAAAAAAGTGTGAGAGAATGAAAAGATGAAAATAAAGTGTTTGTAGATGGGGAGGGGAGGAGGGGGAGAAGGGAGGGCAGAGGTAAGGGGAAAAAATGAGAATCAAGGCCTGTCATGTAGAGGTACAAGATCCCAACAATGAATGTAACTGTACTGTATCCCTAAAATGTACCAATAAACTCAATAAAATTAAATTTTAAAAAAATTACATTTTATTCTCATTTTGTGCATGTTGCGTCTGGACTTAGTTGCTGCAGTTGCAGTCCTTGTTTTGTTAGACAACAGTGCTAGGGAAAAAGGTAGTGTAGAATGCCACCTAGGAGACTTTAAAAGTAACTACAAGTGCACTCAGAAAAGTGCTGTAGAATGGGTCTTTTTACATTTGATCTTAGTGGAAAGGCTGAGAAGCGAGTAAAATGGGTCTTTTTTATGAAATCTAGTTTACATTTAAGAAATGTACAGGGCTATTAATAAATCACAGGACCTCATCCACCAGATAAGACAATAGGTCAGTGGCCATTCTTTTTTTTTTTTAATAAGACTAAATTTATTCAATATCCTAGTAAAAGTTTTGATTATAAGTATCCAACAGTATAAAAAGTACAAAACAGATTTTTAGATTTCCAATATATTAATACAAAGTCCATGACTACATACAGTACATCCTACAGGCCAAGACAGGTGGAAGGGAAACAGAAGACCCTGGTTGAGGGCTAGTAATAAATAAATACAGAAGTGGAGATGATCCATATTGCCACCAATACTGCAGCCAAAATGTGCAAAAAAAAAAAAAAAACATTTCAAAACACCTTGGGAGGATGTGAGGGCTGGACCCTTGTCGTACGCTTGGAGGCTGCAGAGAGCCACCTACCTCACTGCTAATGGTGGCAAGAGTACATGGGAGTTTTCCCAAAAGGAAGAAACATCAAATATTAAGTTTATATTAAGAGCTATAAAACCTTAGGGTGCTCATAAAAAGTGGCTCACTCCTTAATACGACACCATCCAATTTTTAAAAATCCCGTTTTTTTTAAAAAAGCCTTGAGTCATCTTAGTATTGCAAGGCAAGCAAATGTTCCTCCCTTGTTATGAGAAGTTTGAACTGGTACTATTTTCTTCCTGAACTTTCAGAAAAGAGGCGAAGAGTGTACTTTGGTTTGGGTTCAAGTGAGAGGCTTTTAATGAGTATTTTTCTTTTTGGTACTGGGGATCAAACTTGGGCCCTCCTCCTTGAGAGGCAGGCGGCAAAACCACTGAGCTAAATCCCCGGCCCTTTAGTGAGCATTTTAGAATTGAAAGCTCCATTCTCAAACTCATCTCAATGTTCAAAAAAACCTAAATGTAAGAAGCCAAACCCAAACCAACCTGCTTAGCATTAACACACACACCTCTTTTCTTCCGCTAAATTTTACTGTAGGAGTGAAAAGAAACCCTAAAAATCCTAGAAAGTCTGAACAAGTTGAACACCTACTTTACACTGCTAAGACCTTCACAAAGGTCAACTGAAGTAATCCAGAGCTGAAACTGAATTGTGCAGATTTCAGTGAAGTCACAGCCAGGTAACACCAACAAAGCCAATTGTATACACACACGTCAAGCCCTCTAAAGAAACACGCCCAAGAAGCATGAACCCTGTTTCATGTCACCCTGAAGACATCCACACAGCCCGACGTGGTCACACAGTGCATTGATGCTTCGGCACTGTTGGGAGCGTCCTGCCCATCCTATGGAATTGGGAAGAACAGATTTTGCTTGCAGTTTCACATAAACTAAAGTCTTTACCAAACATCAGAATGAAGAGAGGTGACACAGAACACAACATACACCTGCCAAGCTACCTGTGTTCGGGTGGTGTTTTTGTTGTTGTTCTTTGAGACTGTGTCTCACTTTGTAATCCAGACATGTCTGGAGCTCACTGTGTAGCTCAGGCAGGCCTTGAACTCTCAGAGATGCTCCTGCCTCAGCCTCCCAAATTCAGGGATAATAGGCATGCACCATCACGTCTGGCTGTTCTCTGTGGATTTTAAAATCACTTCCTCCTTCAAGGTATTTGCAGCAAAAAACTCAGTCTGTCCTGCTTAATAATCAGTAGTACAGGTTTGAACGATCAGAACCTCGGCAAGACCTTAATATTTCAGTTATTAGCAACTACCTCTAGGGGCAAGTCCTGTTACCTGGTTATGACAAATTTATCATGAGGGGAAAAAAGTGTAGCCAGCCATCTTAAAAAATGAAGTTGGTGGCCATTCATATGACTTGGGGGACAGGTTTCACTGAAATTCCAGTTCAATCCTTCTCTATGTTCTAGAGAAAATGTTGTGCCTGTTATGCCTCAGTTTCCTTTCTGTTCTGATCTTCCTCTGGTGAGAGGGTAACTTTCCAGGATGACTCAGGAGCAAGTTATCTCAGTAACTCATGGTGAGCATGAGCGTGAGAAGAAAAGACTTCCTTTTCCTGGTCTCATTTCGATCTTTCCCTGCCACTTTACATTTCCCTTATAGAGGCATGTAAAATTAGAAAAAGGAGAGTCTCTAATAAGTTCAAGAGAGAATCCCAACCCTTTCTCTCCCCTTTTAAGTTCTGGTTTTCATCATTTATATGTGCAGGAAAGAAAATAATACTTTGGCTAATAGTTTGAGGACTTTGAAACTTTTCCTGTGGACTTGTAAAATGCTACGTGATGATTAGTTTGGGGTTTTTAGGTGGCATAAGGTTTTATTTGGACTTCTTGTCAGGTTTGACTTGGTCATGAAATGGTTAATGAATATGCTCTTTAGTTCCAAGCTACAGTTTGACAAGGTGCAAAAAAACAAAAACAAAACCCTGCAACAAAACAGGCAGCCCATGCAAGGCCTGACTCCATCCAACAACAGAAGATGTGCTATCTGAAACACAGAACACAGGATGGGATGTTCCCAACAGAGAGATAACAACTACAAAGTACAAGATCTTTTCAATGCCAAGTCACCTGAAAACATCCACACACCTGCCTTGAACGCTGAATGGACCCTGTCACAAATATTTGCTCTGACCCCTGCGTATGATAGACACGCTGGGCTCTCTTCAAAAGCCCTACGAAGCTTTCTGACTTCTCTTTGCTCAGGGCTGGTGGCCTCTTGCTTGCTGTCGGTCCATCTCTGCCCAGGTGAGTAATATCTGTACCCCTTTTGCCTTCACTAGCCCGCTCAGGTGACCTCATCCCTCAGCTGTTGGTTAGTAAGTTAGAAACTCACCACTGAGAGTTAACTTTAGAATTAACCACTTTGTAGTTAGACCACCTCTCCCTCCAAAAAGTCAAGCTGAAGTAGCTTACAACAAATGCTTGTCTTGCATGGACTAGTGACTTACATTTGTGTATGTTTTTTTAATATAGTAACTAGAATAAAGAGATTTTCATCAACTTTTCTCTTCATGTACAAGCAGGAAACTAATAAAAGTACCTTTACTAACGTGTGAGTTATGGCTGCTAGGTGATGAGCATAAGTTTAACTTGCAAGTTTCAGATACTTAGTGAATTTAAAATGGACCTTGAACTTGTCATGCTGCCAAGGTAGGTTGCCTAGGTGATTAGACAACAGGAATGTCTTAGAGGCTTCTCTACCGTAGGGCCCGGGGCAGATTCCCTCTGAGCCTACCAGTCTCTAGAGGTGATCTCTTCGGCAAGCAAAAATGCTGTAAGTGGACCATTGGCTTATTTTCCTACCTTTCTTTCAAAGCAGTAGAAAGTAGTGGTTCAGATCTCTTGGTTATTGCTTTTTCTAGCAATATCTCCTTTTCTAAACGTGGTCGTTAGGGCTAAAATCAACCATAATTTATGCTTTGGGAATACCTGTGGGAGCAAGAACACGAGGAAGATAGGGCTGATGAGCTGGTGATGATAGTGGCTGGTCTTCTCTCGGCTGATTTTCCAGTTTCCTCCAGAAGGCAGCCAGCCACCTGCTCTGGAGTGAGTTACCCTGAGGACGCCTTGAGGGCTTATGAATCAGGCAGAGACTCACAGGGATGCTGGTTTGTTTCTCTCTTGTTTCAGATGGAGAACCCCATATCTGAACCTCTCACTGTTTTGGAATGTATTTTCATGAGAAAGCACTTGCCCAGAAGGGTGAGGACTGTCTTTCATCCTTGAGGGAAGCACAGTTCATGTCAGCTGAGTGGCCAGGTCATGGGGATTTTCAAAGGCAAAGAGGAACTGGGAATCTGTATGTAAAGGAATATGGAATAAGACATCTTTTAAATCCAGTACTGAGAACCAACCATCGTCTTCCAGTGTCTGAGATAGGAGAGTATACAGGTCGGTACTGTTGAGTGAACTGGTGCTACTGCTTCATTTATTAACCTGAGGTCTTAGAGGATATTGATCTTGTGGGGCTTGAGCAAAATTACCTAAAATTGTCTCACCAGAGACAATATCCTCTAAGACCTGAAATTTAAAAAAAGGATTATTGTCTATTCTTGACAATTTAAGAGCACAGGGTTTGCTTAAAGTCTGATTCAAAGTATGCTTTCCTAAATGAGGCATGTGATGTACACCTGTAATTCCAGCACTCTGGAGGCTGAGGCAGGAGGATCCTCTTGAGTTCAAGTCCAGCCAGGGCTACATAGTGAGTTTAAAACCATCATGAACTGCATAGTGAGACTCTGTCTCAAAAAAACAAAAGTAAAGCCAGGCATGGTGGAGCATGCCTGTAATCCCAGCACTCGGGAGGCTGAGGAAGGAGTTTGAGACCAGCCTGGGCTACATAGTGAGTTCCAGGGCAGTCTCAACTACATAGTGAGACCCTGTCTCAAAAAACAAACAACCAAACAAATAAACAAAACAACACAGTATGCTTTCTTAGTATTGTATGCCCATGCAGCCATACATAAAGAAAGAAATTATCTGACAGCCAATGTATCTCCTGTAAAACACTGCAGGGAAATAGATGAATTTTTTTTTTTGACTTGGGGATTGAAGTCATGACCTAGCACTTGCGAGGTATGTGCAGTGCCATTGAGCTAAATCCCTGGCCCAGATAGATGAATTTTTATCATCTGTCTATATGCCCTCCAGAGTGGCAGTAATTCACTACAGAGGACTCCAAAAAGGAGTTGACAAAGTATCTCAAGGTAATAGACTGGCTGATGCAACAGCAAAAGAGACTGCTCAAGGGCCCTTCTTCAGGCCCTCTTGATCTGAGAAGGGTCCTTTGATCATACTCAACCCAAATATTCTCAGTCAGATATTGAGCGGGCTCTCTCTCATGAGTGTCAGTTCCTTCCATTAGGATGGTTGCATTCAGATGATGATAAATTGTTCCTTTCTGGTGCTAGTCTGTGGAAAATTATTGTCTTTACATCAAGCCTTTCACTTGGGGTGAGACAAGACACAACAGATGATCTCAAAGTTATTAATAGGAAAGGGACTTTCTTAGACAATAAAAAAGATAGTTAAGGTGTGTGAGCTCTGCCAAAAAACCCACAAAAACAAAACAAAACAAAACAATGCTCTTAACTGGACCATAGCTGCTCCAGGTATACAGAGACATGGTAGATACCCTGGAGAGGATTGGCAACTTGACTTTACTCAATTTTCCCAAAGAAAGAGTAAGGGACTCCAATACCTACTGGTCTGGGTAGAAACTTTCACAAACTAGGTTGAAGCCTTTCCTTGTAGAACAAAAAAGGCAAAGGAGATAGTAAAAGTTTTGTTCTCAGAAATCATCCCCAGATTTGGACTTCTAAGAGTTTACAGTGATAGTGGGCCGTCCTTTAAGGTGATAGTCATGAAGGGTATGTCCGGCACTGGGCATTCTCTATCATCATTGTACCACAATCCTCGGTAAAGGTAAAAAAGATGAATGAGACCCTAAAGAGACATCTTCAAAAAATGGCTCAGAATGCCCACCTACAGTGGCCTCCACTTACTACCTTTAGCTCTTATCAAAATAAGAAATACACCTCAACTTCTAGGCTTCAGTCCATTTGAAATGCTTTGTGGATGTCATTTTTTTCACTAATGATTTTCTCTTCAATAGAGAAACAGATGCCTTACTAAAAGATGTCATTTCACTGGTTAAATTCCAACAGACTCTTCAACAGCTAACAGAAGCTCAGCAAAGAGAGAGAGAGGAAGTCCCACATTCCAACCTGGAGATTTAGTACTGGCAAAGTCTCTTCCCTCATCGTCTCCTTCCCTAGGACCAACTTGGGACTCATGCCCTGGGACCCAGAAGCCACTGCACAGAGTGAGCCAACACCCAAATACTCCTGTGGACCCATAGAAGGATTAAAATTCTTGTTCAAAAAGAAAATGAAGCCTCCAGATAAGTAATCTAAGATGTTACTCTTAGCTCTTTTACCAATCACCTCACCACCTAAAGGACAGTGCTGTTCCTTTCTCAGGTGGGCATAGGAATATACAGAGTCATTTTGATATAGAAAGCTGTTAGAAATATTGTAGGAAGTCAGACAGGGTTGGGCCCTTAAAGTCAATGCAGAGGATGAGAAAACATCGAATTGGTGGCTGGTGGTGAATCTGAGAAAGATCAAAGTCACAATGGCCAGACTTGCATACTTCCCTATAGGATGAATAGAAGTTTGAGATTACTGGTACTACTCTTTTGGGTTTTCTGGTATAGATAGACCATTATCTTCCTGGGGGTGAGTCATCCTCTCCCACCCACTACAGCTAAGACCACTAAGACTAAGACTACTAAAACTATGAAGTTTTAAGCCTAAAACTACAGATTATCAACCAAGGTTAATGATGTCATCTATATACTCTAGTTACAATTGGGTCAATGTTGCCTAAGTTACTATACTTGTAATCCTGTTGGTTGATTATAGCTTTTACCCACATTGTACCCATCCCTCATGACTCTGCTCTATAAGACTTACTTTGAAAAGTGGGCTTGTTGCCAACCCATTTAGGACCCCTCCTGTCTTCCAGGAGCTATTCTTATTCCCCAATGCATTCCTAACCTACTCCTAACCTCCATAATTTGTTCCTTAGAATTCATTATTTGACTTCGAGAAACAAGAACTTGGCATATCTGACATCAAACATAGCTACATCTATCCCCCCATATCAGTTATAACAAATGTCTTGCTAGATATGTGGTCTGTCCCCTTGCCAAGTATATCAGTATTTCCTTGGTGGGTATCCCTACTTCAAGGAGATGACTGAAATAAGCTACAAGACTATGCAGACGAGACAAAAAATAGCCCACCATCACAAGGTAACTGAGTGGTTTATAAACTATATTCTTAATGACCCTGGGCATAATCAGATTTTTTTCTAAGAATGCCACTGAAACCTTTCTACAGGCTTAAGACTGCTGTTAATTAGAAGTAAGTGTTCAATCATGAGGGACAAAAAATATCAATATCAAGATGGCTGTTTTGCAATATGGGATGATTATATATGATTACCTCCCCACAAGACACCATAGTAGAAAGGCCCCATTATGTTGGGAACAAAAATAATCAGTATTCTCATTGGCCTAACTCTACTAAATACTTGTGGTGGACATCCCCTGAGTAGGGTATACACACAATAACTTTACAGGCTGAAGACTGGTCTACAACAAACTGTTTAATCACCTTAGAATTAGATGGGAGGCCCCCAGTGGCACTCATGCGTCTTGTGGAACCAATTTGTAGCCCTGGATAACCCCTAGAAAAATAGGGAGGTGCACTCTGGGATTTTTGTGGTTATAAGGCAGGAGTGTTAAAAACATAGACAAACCTGCAAACTCACCCCACCTAAGACACTGATGGTCTAGAAGTGTATTTCACTGGTGTGATCATGTTGTTTCTATCTTTACCCCCTTCCCAGGGTTAGAAGGTGTCATGCAGCACATCTCAGCCTTAACTAATTTTACTCAGCAGGCCTTCAATGACACTATGACTGGCCTCTCTTTCCTAAATGAAGAAGTAAAATTAAATAGGCAAGCCATCTTCCAAAATCGGATGGCATTAGACATTCTAACTGCAGCTTAGGGGGGTACCTGTGCAATTATAAAAGTTGAACATTGTGTGTACATTCCTGATCCTTCTGCTAATATTTCAATAGCCGTTCAAGATATTAGATAACAGATTAATGCTGTGTCAGATTCTGAAATCCCCTGGACCTTCTCATTTTCACTGTGGGAAGCTATTACTGGTTCCTCCTGGTGGAAATGCTTATTTTTATATATATCTTGCTGATCTTATTATTTGGCTCATGTATTCTTTTAAAAAATTGTTTTAGTTTTAATTTTTGATACCTGGGGTCAAACTCTGGACCTTGCACTTTGCAAGGCAGGGGGCGTTACTGAGCTAAATCCCCAGTCCTGGCCCATGTATTCTTAACTGTTTCTTTTTTGGGGGTGAATATGGGGGATTGAACTTGGAACCTTGAGCTTGCGAGGCAGGCAGCAGAACCTCCCTGACCCTATTAAACTGTTTCTTTGGCTTTGTCTCCTCCAGACTCAAAGCTATATGCCTACCCAAGATGAGAATGCCTGGCACCTATCAAGGGTCCTTAGACCCTCTTTGGAATATCTCTGACTGCCAATTACAACTACTACCCTCTTCAGCTAAAAGTAGCCAGTACAGACTTTGGCCCTTGCCCCCCTCATGGCATTTAGGGGTACTTCTTCAGATGGAGGAATATTGTATATATTGTAGAAATCTAAGTCAGTTATGTATATTGTAGACAGCTAGACAGGGCTGGCCCTCAAGGAGTTAATATGAAAGACAATTGAGACACATTCACTGAAGGTCAGCATTAAAAAAAAAAAGAAAAAGAAAAAGTGCAACACTTACATACTTCCCCTAAAGATAAATAGCAGTGATTACTAACATCAATAACTTTAACTGGGGACCAGAAACTCCTTAGACCATTTCCTTTCTGCAAATTCCTTGTTCATTCTATGTACACTTCTTACATGACTTGTTTTCTCATTTGATCCCTGTTTAATCTTTATTACTTGGGTGGCTGTACTTGTAATCTTATTGATTGTAGTTTTGTCCTGCCTTGTGCCCACCTTGTGATTTTTTTATTGGGTCTTATTAGTTGACTATAGTTTCATTCCACTTTTGTACCCATCTCACCATGTGGTTTTGCTGCATAAAAGTCCCCTGGGAAATTGAAAGAAAAAAGAGAAATAAAACTTTTGTGCATAAGGGAGGGTGAAGAATGAGGGGAAAAAAAGGAGAAGCGAGATATCATGTACTGCTACAAATTCCTCATGTTGAATGTTATCATTATGTATATCTAAAATGTACCAATAAATGTTTATCTAAAAAAAGACACCCTGTGAAATGGGGTCTCAGGCAACCCACTTTCTGGGTGTACCCTCCTCTCCCTCTCAGGCAGGAGCTGTCATTTCCTCAATAAATATTCTTTACTCTTAACCTCCATTCTTCCTAGAATTCATTCTTCGATTTTAGAGAACATGAACTCATGTTTTGGCTGTCTAGCAGGTTGAGAGTAATAATATCTACCTTGTTTGGATTATTTTGCTTATTTGGATTACTTGGTGCCCTATATCAATACGAATGGAGAAGAAAGGATGATGTAAGATTTACAAAATGCATTTGACAGAGAGACTGAAAAAAAAATAGAAAAAAGGAATTTTCAGACAAAAGACACAATAATAAGCACTAGTGAAGGAGAAGTTTGTTCAGATTGCTTCTCTTTTCTCTGTAAATTAAGGATTTTAGATCACTGTCTGAGGATGGGGGTGGTTGTTGCCATTTGTGAAGGGACAGGGTATGAAATCATCATTTTGGAGCACAGAAGAAAGAACTGAGGAGAGAAAGTAGGGTTGTTGTGCAGTGTTGAGAACCTTTCCATGACTTGTGGTTATAAACTCAAAGTGAGATCAGTCAGGGCTGGGGATTTAGCTCAGAGCTGGGGATTTAGCTCAGTGGTTCTGCCACCTGCCTTGTAAGTGCAAGGTTCAGAGTTCAATCCCTTTTTTTTTTAAAAAAAAAAAAAAAAAAAAAAAAAAAAAAAAAAAAAAGCGAGATCAGTCAGCATGGTTATTTAATTTCCAGCCATGTAAAAAAAATTTTTTTGGTACCTGGGATGAAACTTTGTACCTTGTTCTTGCAAAGCAGGTGATGAAACCACTGAGCTAAATCCCCAGCCCTCCAGCCATATATATTTTTTTCTCATTAAGTTTATTGGTACATTTTATGTATACCACACAGTTACATTCATCATTCGGAAATTGCAGCTTTACATGACTTACCTTGCTTCTTATTTTTTTCTGCATTCCCCTGCCCTCCCTTTACCCCCTCCACCCTTCTCTATTTGTTTTTTGTTTTTATTTATTTTTTGGTACCGGGGATCAAATTCGGGCCCTTGTGCTTGTGAGGCAGGCGGCAGAACCACTGAGCTAAATCCATGGCCCTCACCGTTCTCTATTTTAAAAGACTTTGTTTCCATTTTTTCCTTTTCTCATATTTTTTCTTTTCCCTTCTTACCTTTCCTCTACTTCCCCTTTACTCCCACTTCCCCTACACCTTTAGACCTTTTCTTCCTATTACACAATATCAATTATACATTTTGATCCTTATTTACACTTTTAGTTTTTCACTGCAGAGAAACTATATGGTATTTGTACATGTGTGTCCTGTTGATTTCACTTAAGAGTCTGGCCTCAGTGTGCATCCACTTAGCTACAAATGTCTCTCGTTTCTCACTCTTTAAGGCTGAGTAGCACTCCATTTTATATTTTTTAAAAAAACCCACATCTTCCTTAACCAGTCTCCTCCATTTGATGTCCAGCTGTATTGTTTTGAAGAAGTCTCATTAGTGAATTTATTTTAACCAAATTTACAGTCTTGTAAGCAAGTACTGTAAAATGGAGGGAGTGAGTGTAGGGAAGGGAATGATGATAGCCACAGGCAATCACATCGAAACTGGGTGAGATGAGATGGGACGACATGAAGATGGTGGTAGACAGTGAAATAGTGGGATGATTGATAAACGAAAGAGCCTGAAGAGAAAGAAGTGGAAAGATGGATAATGGTAGAATGCTTGAAATGGGGAGATTGGAAGTGGTGTAGTTACTGATGACAGGGCCTAGGGTTTGATCCTGAGAGTGTCTGGCTGAGATGGGATGGAGGAAAAGATTGTACTAGAGTGCAGAGGACAGGGTACTAAGAGGTCAGGGTGTTGGATGGATTGTCTAGATGAGTTCATGTGACTAACGGTAGAAATGTAAATGTAAGACAAATGCAGCCAGGCATGGTGGCTCACGCCTATAGTTCCAGCATTTGGGAGGCTGAGGCAAGAGGATCGCTGAGAGTTCAAGACTTGCCTGGACTACACAGTGAGTTCCAGGTCAGACTCAACTACATAGTGAGACCCTGTCTCAAAAAAACCAAAGGGGACAAAAAAAAAAAAAAGAGTAATGCGTGTTTTTGGTGAAGAAGTTGGTAGATATCACAAGATTGCAAACAAAGAAGGGTCATGGACAGTATAGTCTGTTAGTATATGCTTCAAAGATGTTTAGGTTTTGGAGAAAGGAGAAAGTTTTGGAAGCAACAACAAGGATCAGGAAAGATACCTGCTTTATCTCCAGGTGTGTGGAATGTGGGAGGAAAAGAAAACAGTTACTACCTTGGAGTGATGCAAGGGAGCAGTGTCTTCAAGGGACAGCCAAGTTTCTATGGAACACTGGCGGATGAGATTGATGATTTGGAAAATTTTGTGGGTAATATTTCCTAACTTCCTGAGAGTCCAGTAGGAGGATTTAGAGCAGGTGAGAGGAAGTAAGAGATTATGCTAAGTGGGAATAAACAGACTATCTGAGGTGAGTTTGGATGAGGATGGATTCCCTGGCCTAGTTTAGACTTCTGACTGACTTACAATTAACAGGTATGTAAGGAATGATGTTCTTTTTGACGAAAGTGTGACATTAGCTTCAGTTGTAGTTTCTATAACAAAACAATATGTAATATGTATTGAATCCTTACTACTCATCCAAGTATTTACGATGATTAATTTCCTTTGTCCTCAGTACAACCCTATGGGATAGGTACTGTTGCTAACCTCATTTTACAGGCGAAAAGGTAGACACAGACAGGCTGAGTAACTTGTCAAGATCTTGTGTTAACCAGCTTTGCATTCCTATAACAGAATACCTGAGATAACTGACTTATAAAGAGAAAAGGTTTATTTTGGCACATGGTTTCTGAGGTTTCATTCCAACATTAGGTGGACCCAATTTCTTTTGGGTCTGTGGCAAAACAGCACATTATGGTGGGATCATGTGGTAGAGCAAAACTGAGGCCTTACCTCATGGCCAGGAAGTAAAAGAGAATGGAGGGGCACAGTCCCACAATCCCCTCAAAAGCATATCCTCAAGGACCTAAAAGTCTCCCACAAGGTTTCATCTCTTAAATGTTCCACTGCCCCCAACAGCGCCACCTTGAGGACCAAGTCCTTCACACATAGGTCTCTGAGGAACATTCAAAATACAAACTACAGCAATCATGAAACTAGCAAGTGGGGGACCCTGGATTAAAACTCAAGTATCTGAGATTTCCAGGAAGATGGAGGAGTGGTGAACAACAGAGAAAGAACCTCTGTGGGATTTAGTATCCTGACATTGGAATATAGCTGTGGGAAGAGGAGAAGAGGGAGAGAAGTGGGTTCTTGGGATACAGGAAGGATCTGAAATGAGAATTGAAGTCCACAGGGTGAACCAAGAGAGAGACTTCAATAAAAAGAGGGAGGCGGCAGGGGCACTTTGTCTCAGAGCCTGGACTCATGGAGTGGGAAAGGTGGGCTGAACCTGCAGACACCCAGTGACTACTGATGACCCCAGAAGTCCCCATGGAGAAAGGCACCAGTG